CATCATCATCATCATCATCATCATCATCATCATCATCATCATCATCATCATCAAAGGGGCAACAAAAAGGGGCCAGGCCAAAGGGATGACCAATGAGAGGATATGAGATGAGGACAGTGAGATCAACGACACACAATCTCAGTAGAGGTGCAGGCTGGAGGAGCTGAAAAGGCGTCTCCAAACAAAAGGAGTAAAACAAAACGGCTGTTGTTAATGGGACATCTGAGGCTTAAATATAAGGTCGCCCCTGTTGTTGTGTGAAGCTGTTTTTGAAGTGCTATGACTCGGCGGCTCTATTTCTAAATAAACTTTCAGCAGTGATTAGCCATCAGGTGAGTAGATTTTGCAACGTTGCCACTGGTTCGGGACTTCAGTAAGTATCGACAATTATGGCATATATTCATTCTACTGACGGCTCTATATTCCCTTCTAGTGAAGAGGCTTAACAATAGGTTCAAATAAGTTGTAGCACTGCACCCATTGCCCCAGCCTCGCGTGGCGGAGGTGCGGCCCCACCCGCAGCACGGGAACTTCTGCCATGGCGCAGCTGGAGCCACGGGCTCATGCCAGCGGAACGCAGCGGCACAAGTTCAGCAATGTGGCCCTCAAAGCATCACAAGCTTGGGGTATTGAACCCTAGAATGGAATGACGCGGTAAAGAACACGACTTTATAACATTGTATTATTAACCTTTTAGATCGTTTAGGGACCCATGCATTGAACATCACGCTTCAATATCCTCGGACTGTAAAGAAGCCGTGATGAGTATCAAGCAGTTGGCATCCGATTCCTGTGGCTCCCCTGGCCGAACTTCTTGGCCCTCTACCAAGTCCATACAACCTCTCATCAGGGTTTGCAGGGGAGAAAGCTACAACTCTAAGGCGTGCCGTGTCGTGCTTGTGCAATGAAGAAAGAGACTTCTGTGAGATCCCCCGCTCAACACCCCGTGCAAATTCCGAACGCCCCCCGCTTATCTGATGAGCGCACTCTGGGTTCTATTCACTGGGGTTGCGAATCATATCGAAAGATATCTAAAGCAAGAAATGGCAGAATGTCTTTTCAGGGTCAGTCTATCTATTATATTCTCATCGCACACCGCAGGCTTTAGACTAGAAGCCGCTGCACTGTTGCCCCTCACCCCACTCCAGACCCTCCAGACCTCAGCCTCATCTACTCGGACCTTTGCCGGGCCTTCGCCTGTGCCAAAGTGACAAACCATTTTGTTCGACATGAGTATGAGGATTATGAGTTAGACCGGAACTGCTGTGTGAAGCCACCAAACGATACAATGATACAAGGGCAATGTATGGGCTGGTCCAACCTGTGTCTTTATCAACCCCTTGAAAGTGCAAATGCCTCATGAAGGATTCTCTGTGGTTTCATATCTTGTCACGACAAAACTGCATCGCCCTGCAGCCCCTCCACAAATCTACAAAGCATCTGCTCGACCTGGCGGCTGTTCCTCCTGATGGCAGGGTCCAGCGCAGGGATAGGCCCCAGAATGGACAATGGTCGATGGCCCTTGTCAACCGAAAGAAATTCCTCAAGAGGACATGTTTTAATCATCAGAAGGAGAATGCTGTGTGTGTGCCCCTTGTAGTCACAGGGATTCCTTTGAATTGTTTTTTACTCAGCAGGGGGGTGCAAGCAGCCCACCCAGTCTTGCACCAACGAAAACACTGGATGTGTGCTGGTGATATCGATTTGGGACGCCAAATCGACGTACCTGCCGGGAGAGAAACTTACGTAGAGCACAAGCTGTCTACTTCGTTGTTTCCTTCAGTAAAGGGCTACTGCAGCGGCGATGAACTTGGCTTTTCTGCACGCACGTCGTCACCTTGTCGTCCGCTCGCTCGGTGTTTTCGTTTGGAGTTTTAGGTTTCCTTCCCTGTACCCTTAGGAACTGGAACCCTAGGCCGGCGTGTGGCACCGCTATCAGTTCCGTACGCATTTCCATAAGTGTGTGCTGACGCACCTGCAACTCAAAGTGGCTTCATGCCCACAGGGGGCAAACCTACTACCACTAAGTAAGCTAGGTAACCAAGTGCAATAAGCTACGTAACAAAGTGCAATAATCTACTGTAACAAGTCGACTCCCATTGACGGAAGAAGTTTCAGGAAACCGGCCCGGTCAAACTCACACCAGCTTCACCTGCCCAGACTCCTCGTGCTCGCTGCGAGGGGATTCGGCCATCAAAGCATCACCCAGTCAAACCCGCTGAGACGCCGCGTTGTTCGACGCGGCCATCGTCCCTCTCTGAGCCATTCTGGTCCAACCGAAAGCATCGTGCAAAATTCAGTGTTCCCACCCAAAGGACTCTGGACTTGGTCAGTAACATTCAGTAGCCGTTACAGTATCTTGTTTGATGAGGGCCCTTCCCATTCCATCCCCAACTAAACCCAAGAATACATCAGGACATCTGTTCATGCACAAGATCTTTATCAAGCATCAACAACCGTGCAATAAAACGGAATGTCCGCGGTGTTTACTTCCTTTTTCCACGCCTTCCAACTGTCTGCCGCATCCATGTTAGATGCCGCACTGGAGTCACTGGCATGGCAATGCGATAACATTGTCAGGCGCCGCAGGTGGCCTCACACGAAGTTACTGTTCTGTTGAATGCCGCCAACAATAAGTGTCCTCTAGTCTAATTACCTGCCTGCCACCACTTCAGTTTCAGGCTCCTGGAAGGTCCCCAGTCTCCACTGGTCCCCCACGGCCTCGTACTCCAAGACCAAAGAGCCTGCTGGGTCGAAGGTCGTTGGCTCCTTGCAAGCCTGGTAGCTGGGACCCACTGGAAGGAAGGAACTCGAGGAAAAGTGGAAGGCCAAAACTTGCAACTACCTGAGGTACAGCTGATGAACGCTGATCCTAACTCCTTTCTGGCATTTCTGCATCGAAGGATCGTTTGAAGGGTGGTTACAAATGGTTACAAGCTAAACTTGCATGAAGCTATGAACTGCCAATTAACACCGCAAATGTTCCATGTCACCTCTCCACATGCAGCCTCTCTCGCTGTGCCGGCCTGGTCCACCTCTCCGGCCGGGATCACCAAGCGGCGCCCCTCGAGGAAGTTGCCATGCACCTCGGGTCGCCGTGGGTGGTTTGGTAAAATAACGCCCGCTCCAAACGAGCTACACCTCGCAGGTCTAAATTGGTCTAAGCACCGCCAAACATGGTGCAAGAATCCCTCCGCGGGCAAGTTTCAGTATCGCTGAGCAGATCTTTCGACGCGTCCAGACAACGCCGCCACTATGACATCCCTTATAGCTCATAGACAGGTATACCATAGGCAGGTGTTCGTGGTCAATCTCTTCAACTTTTCCCCCTGGAAGCACTCTTCCCTGAGCATCAAAGGATCAGCTGAGACGCCACAAGGCCGAACAACTGCTTCTGCTTCGCGCCTGGCGGCTGAAGAAGAAAATCAACGACTTGGTGCCCAGAAGCGAAAATAAAGCGAAAAAAATGCGAAAATAAAGCGAAAAAAGAGTGAAAAAAAACGAGACAAATACGCACAGCTACATTTTTTTGCTATTTTGTTTGCTTTGCCTTTTGCTTTATAAAACTATTTTGGCTCCTTGTATCTATGGCTGGCGTGCCCGACATAAAGCTAGGACAACCAAGCCTGAAATCTAGACGTGTGACTGGCTCAAGAATAAAACAAGAAACCTGTGTGGAGTCATGTGGAGTCCAAAAACAAGGCTTTGCCGCCGTTAGCATCGCACTTTTTTTCTGTAGGTCACTCGAAGATTTCGGGCAGTGCCACCCCAACTCTTGACAGTGGATCCTGGCATTGTGTCTCCAATGCCATGCAAGAATGTAATTGTAGATGTCTGGGTTGACTAGGAGGCTCTTGGCATCTTTGGTGGCCAACTTTCTTCTGGCAAGACGTCTTTTAAAATAGAGCGCCCTAAACCCTGTGACCCCGAACCCCCCAAAAGGACATTGTCATTGTGCATTACCAAATCAACTCAACCCTCCAAGGCCTGGCCCAGCCGGAGTGTGACACAGGTACCTTAGCCGACGAAGGCCAATTCTCTTTGTCTATATCCCTTCAGGATCATTGATAGGGATCCATCGAGAGAATTATCTGAATCTGATGGAGCACTATTTCCGTCCCATTGTGTCCCATGGTGGAGGACATCTCCACACCCAGTTGCAGCTACAGGGATGCTGGGTCTTAGGTTCGCCTGGAATTCTTCCGTCGGCAGGTAGCAGCCGTCTCAGGGTTTGTAATCCATACTCCACTTCCTGTGCATTCTGTGGGTCAACATGCACCACATGTAAGTAAACCAGCCAGCGCATGTCTTTCGTGGCTTTCCTGTGGCCTATTGGCAGCTGAGAAGCACGGAGATGCCCACATCGCCACCTTAAAGGGCAAAGGTGCTTGCAATCAGTCCAATGATTCCAATGGGTGACGTGGGCAAACAATTGGGTAACTCAACCCTCCTTCTGAATGCAATGTAAAGCATGATTTCTCAGGGGCACACTGCCGCCAATTCTTTCTTAATACATGCCTTTGCCATGGCCTTCTTTGGGTTGGCATATCCAAAAGCGCAAAGCCTTGAGTCAATTATATGGTGTTGTGCTAGACTCATTTATATTACATAAACATATCATTTGCGCTGGCTTGGCAAACGTGAATCCCTCAAATCCAGTGCGGAAACCAAAACCCAAAAGCGGCCTGCAAAGCCTCTGTATCGGTACCGTCGGTACCCCACAAGCAAACCGGGGTTCTTCTCCACACCAAGTGTGTTCCTTGCCCCTCACTATCCTGCACTCCAAAATTCACAAAACCGCCAGGTCAGGTTGGTCCACGATCTTCCCTCTCTATGGTTGGCCTATTTCTGTGCACAGCTTGAGTCACAACAAACCCTTCCACATCTAGCCTGCTAGCGGCCCTCTGAGGATCAAGCGCACTGGCTGGTTGAAGTTCCACACCTGCAATCTTATGAGGGTTCCAGCATGTGTGGGGAATGAGGGGCATTATAATATTAACCCAAGCCATCACTTCCCATGCGCTTGGGTTTCTCTCAAAAAATCGGAGCGAACTGAAGGAGCCATGACTTGATGGATCTTGATGTCCAAACTGCTCTCCCCACAATAGCTACAATAAAGTTGTCTAAAACCTCCTTCAAAACCGCTATCATATCATATATACCTGTAGGCTATAGGTCACAAGCAAACGGCAAAGGCGATCCATATGCCCGGCCTTGTCCCCGCGGCTCTGATCCAGTGGAAGGGAAGCCACGTGACGACCTCGATCGTCCTGCCGCCACGAAAGCAAAAGGACTGGTTCCAGGGGCCATGGAGGAGGTGATTGGGCTGAAAAATCCAAAGTCAATACCGTTGGACCCCCCCTGGATACCAGTAGGAAACGTGAATATATACCCTCTTTAAAATATGTTTTGGTCATACACTGAGCTGTCTTGCTGGCGGTTGCTTTGGTGTCACAAGCTCTTGCTCCATCCTCGACTAATCCTTGAGGCATTGATTTAAATGCATTGCTAGTGTGCCTTCATTGGCCTTCCTTTCTGAACACGGTGATTGGAGGATGGAAAAAGCTTTCGTACAAACACTGCACTCACAGGTAAGTGTTCATATTGTGGCACGAACCGGTACAAACCGCGTAGACTCATGGTATAGGTTCATCTTCATGGGTGTAAATATGAATATATATATATACTATATACACATATAAAAATAGTGATACACACGCACCTCCCAATCCCAGCAAACCCTCTTTCCGAGTTTTTAGACTCACGCCGTCCTGCACCACGGCCACCAAATGACCTCCACTATAGCCGGCCCGTGAAACATCCAGGCTCCGAAACCGGCCATGCATTTGCATTCCACAGTTTAAGTTGTAATCTGATAACCCTTTGCTCTTGAAACTTGAATCCTAAAAAGGCACCTTCGGCTCAAACAGGACTAATGTAATCTGATGTATACTAATGTACCATTGTAGACATACTTTGTAGCACATCGGCATTTTATATACAAGTACCTTGAAACTCCTTTTGGTTTGCCGCTGTAGTTGCCATAATTATGTAGTGGTTCTTTTGAGGTGACTTAGTGACTTGCGCTAACGCCTTCGGACTTCTCAGCGAAGGAATCCCGGAAGAAGCTCTGAGCGCAAAGGGAATGTAACCGCACCTGGCCCAGCCGGGAAGGTGTTGCAAACCTATAAGCCTTTTTCGCCTGAGATCTATCGAACTCGAAATTCAACACTGTCAACTTGAGTGCGAACAGTATCATGTTCAATTCCATGGAAACAATCGTTTCTGCACCTGCAGTCCCTACTCATAGGATTTGCCAGCATAGCGCCATTCTCGGGCTAGCCTCCACGAGCTCTGGCAAGGCAACTGTCGCAGGGCAGAACCTTGGCAACGGAAACACATTCAGAAGACGTAATCTAGACTCTTGATTGATAACCCAGTACCCCCCCAAGCATTTGGATTGTAAAATCTCTTCTACCTTTCGCGCTCACAAATCAGGTGTGAGGCAGTGCCGCTAGCATTCCACTAAACGGCATCCTGAACCCTATGAGGATGGCACAGAAAGAGCGACCACCCGAGGGGGGCTCCCATATGGGTGGCTTTACTAATCAAGAGTATACATTTTGTCCACCCTTGTATTCACTGGCGTTATGCCACGCTGTTCATATTGGGTGTGGGAGACTCTTCGACAACAAAATGAGACACCGACGGGTATATAATGGTGATATATAAATGTTGTTTCCGGTGACAGGGTGGATTGCTGCAGGTGCAACAAGGGATGGGTGCCACTTAGACATATGTTTGTAATACCCGCTTGAAGGATCTCTTGGTGATGTTGGGTAACTCAGTCAAGAAGGTTGAGTCAGTAATTGCTATATAATCTATATACAGTACTGTATATTGAATGGAGTTTAGGTATGGTTTCAAGAAACCCATCATGCGCAACAAGGGACTCCTTCGAGCTCTTGGCAAAACTGAGCCTTCTTGCGCGGCTTGCTGTTGCAGTAGTTGCTCAACCTCAGCCAAGCAGCTAGGAGTGTCAACATTCCATCTCGTTTTGCCTCCAGCCCATGACAAGTTAAGGACAAAGAAAATCAAAAAAAGAAGACCGCTGGGATACAATAATACTCACCAACTGGCCCTACTTGGCACAGGAGATTACAGCAGCAGTAGCTATTTTTAAAAAAGAACGTCACCTGCAGTACACATCAAAGGCACACCTGCCAATGCCCTGGAAGGACCGGGCCACAACTCCCATCTCTTCAAGTGCCCGGGCATAGCCGACATAGCGCACCTGGGAGGGTGTCTCCACCCCCTGCACCTGGGAGAGCCGGAGTCCACACGGCATAACAAACGCACCCAAATGCGAGGTAGGAGGTAGAAAGAGCTAGCTGAGTCTAGCACACACACACACACACATATATATATATATACATAACCGTTCATGAATCGAAGATATATAAGATATGAAGTAAGGCTCCTGCCTTGGACATCTTCTTCTTGGCCATGTCTGTCCTCACACAAGCCGCCACATGGCCGCAGCTTCAACAAATCTACACACACGCTCCTTCGAAGAGCAAAGAAGTTCAGGGCATCTTCCGCATCTTCCGCTTCCTCCAATGAGCGGCAGCCATACAGGGCTTCTTCTGCAAAGGGGCGTCCATCTAAATGATATGTTGGACCTCTTGGGCCTTTGGGGGGGTGTCCATCCTCTTGAGGGAGTTTCTCTTAGGGATCTCTCCACCAAGAGTTCTTTCCCTTGTTTTTGAACCTCTTGGGCCATCTTAGGGCCACATGTCGCGTCTCTGACAGTGACTTTCGGTGAGAGTAGCTCTTTGATTCAACTGGCAGGCACCTTTGTGTAGAGAAGCCAGGCGCAACAGAAGGAGCCAGTGCGCCCCTGTCGTAGCATAATGAGGAAAAATGCTGAGCTCGCCAAAATATCCACAAGCATGTGTCTCTGCAAGGATGCTGAAAAACGGCCGGAGTCACATTTGTTCCAAAACTTCCCAACGCAAAGAACGCCCGCGACATGTCCTTCTCATGATCACTGCCACCTCTTACCATGGCGATCATGTCGGTCCCGGGGGGGCCCTGTGCCTTCCCTCCTCTGCAGTGAACAGCAACAATGTTGCTCCTCCGAGGTGGTGCAAGGAAGCTAGCAAATGAGAAAGCCAAGCTTAGTTGGCATAGTTTGGGCAACCACAGAGTGCGGTCATTCATGTTGTGCATCTTGCAGGGAAACATCATGTAGGTCAGGTCTGTTGTCACAAAACCTTTGGGACAAGTGCTCTGCTGATTTGGGAAGCCAAATGGGATATATGATATATGGGCTCAGGACTGGGCCAGGTATGATGGACAGTGCACCCTTTGCTAGCCTGTTGAGGTTGACACCCGCCCTGCCATCTTTCGCTCAAGTGTGGTATCATTCCCCACCCCGTGCCTGCATTCGCTCATCCAAGCCTCAGCACAGCCATTCCCATGAATGCTGGTCATGGTGTCCGCAGTTGAATTCTCAAAAGGGTGGGAAAGATGTTGCCAGATCTCACCCAAGTCCTGCAATATCCATCTCACACTAGCCACGCCAAGCCCGCATGTGTCCTGCTGCGTGTCCGCACTGCACTGCACCAGGCTTGGCCGAAACGTCTACTACTTCCATCACCCAATAACATCAAACCACCTAACATCAGCTACTCCCAGCTCTCCCAGCCCCTTTTCGTCCCCATGACCCCCAACATCCCCCAAAAGAGCTGAGTCTTGGACTTGCACCACCGTCAGAAAACGCCTTGTTGGTGCGCATGCAGTCGAGATCTATGAGATTCAAGGCCAGGACTTCCAATGCCATGTCAAACTCCCAACGGAATGTGTTTCGTTTATGGTTTTTTCTTCCACCCGTTGACAAGCAAGCATAGTATCATCACAAAATAGACTCTCAGATTGTCAACAAGAACCATCATGCCCTGTGGATTTCACGCCTATGGACATTCGACATCAATAACCACCATGCATTATTCATCATTGATTGGATAGTGGATTCCTTGCCAACACAGTGAGTACACTATCCACAAAGGGTTCTTGCTCTGGCTGTGCGTCGAAGCCATGCATCGCAAATGATTGTAGGTCGTCCATTCTGGTAATTTGCACTAGTCGCTAGTCAAGCCGGCTTCCCGGCATTTTGAGCCACACCCATCTGATTGAACCTGGCGCCTTTATCCCACTATAATATACTATAATTTGACTCGGCAGCTTAAGATGCTTAAGGGCTGGGCACAATCTCTGACAAAGGCGGAGGCTGATGGTCCTGGCAACCCAGGGCCGTGCTCATCCGTAAGTGTCATTGCATTCCTGAACTGGCTATTTGTATTGTGCTGGAGCTTCTCAGTGAAGGACTTTCACATGCAAATCAGCAGATCCAACCATAAGAAGCTTAACCAAAGTCATAGGTCCAAGCAAGGCATTTTGGCATTCAACAGGCACAGTGCACACGTCAGGTTCAACCGCCCTTTCAGGATTTGCTGGTTGGAATGCCGAACAGCTAATCTGTGTGTGGACCTTGCTCTTGCTGGCAGTGGGAGGTCCCTTAGGTGCACGAAAATGCATGCAGCTGGCATCACTGCTTTTTCTCTGAGCTCCGTTTCTGGTCTCATTGGCCTTGCCCTTGCCTTTCCAGTTCCTCTGAAAAGCGCTATGTACATGGCAAGTTGGATCCGGCAAAAGGAGGATGAATCAACCTGAACTTCGTGCCCAAGGGCTGCTAAAAAGCGCTATTTCCCTACTCAGTGAAGCTATAATCTGTACTGTATATATGCTGCAACCCTTTCTCTTCCGAGATAAAAAACCATTTGGACATTGCTTTGGGAGATCGTCTCTCTGTCAAGAAGCCATGTTATCCACCGCGCCAGGTCGATCTTCCCTCGCTCACGCCCGCTCGACGCTGCAGCAATCCCACCTGCACGACGTTTAGGAGAACCCACGGGAAAACCCATGCATCGCAGCACACATCGCACCCGAAGCAAACAAAGAGCCAACACATCGACATGCAGGAAGGTCATATGATAGAACCTCAACACCAAGAAAATACCATGAAGGAAGTCGTAGCATGCCCTAGCAATGCAGCTGAAAATGCATGAACATGCTATGGCTATGGGTTCCTGCATACATGTCAATATAGGGTCCATCGACGGACTCTGTGGTCTTGATCCAAGCTTCCACCCCCTCAGGTTGCCTGAGAAGACACCCGAAAGAATGGAGATCACTCAACCAGGCATGAGAAAAGACTATCGAGGCGCAGCAACGTTGGGCACACCACCATCGGACAAGTAGATTTCATGCTGAGGACCTCGACGCTCCCTCGTGTGGCTGTGGCCTCCACAGCCCAAAAAACGAGCTGCTCCCGCTCCCACCGCTTCCGCTGCTTCCGCTGCTTCTTCGGCTGCCGGTGCTTCTTTGAGGTATCGGCAGCTTCGGTGGCATGTGGGAGGCCTGGCTGCTAGCCATGTCCAAAGCATGATGTCAACAGGAACATTGGCATGTTCCTTTTGGGAAGGGAGCGGGTCAGCTTTAATCCAGCATGGTTGTATGATCTCTGAAAGGTTCACTGTTGCGTTACTACGTGTTACTTGCTAAAAGGTTTGACTCCTGATCTCGGTGGGCTAGAGAATGGCACAAGACCAAGTGGAGTGGCCGCCACCACACCTTCTTGGCACATCCCTCCATGGGACAGGCTTCCACCACATCGAAAATGTCACAGAAGTCGGCCCACGACATCCAGAAACGGCCTTGTGGGATCGTGCAGCGCTGGTTAAAAGTGCTCAAATGTCTTCAGGCTGTCATTGAGTCATTGTTACCAAGGGCAACAAACATACAACTAATGAAACTCCCGCAAATCAAAGAGTTTGGAGATCCTTTTGGTAGAACAACGGTGGGGGTTGATGAGACCAAAATGATGGTACAGGCATGTACATGCATATGCACCTCTGCCAAAGGTCACCGGCTGCAGGGGCAAGAGATGTGCTATCACTACATAATTTTCTCCATTCTCACCATTTACATCGTGTCATTGTGGAATTACCGAGTTTCCACATCTCAAGTCTTGATAAAAGTGATAAAAGTGTGATAAAGTGTGTCTGCCAGTTGCGCTGAGGCCTTTTCAATCCTCAATCGCACTGTACAGTGAGTGCATCACGCACACCTCTGCGACGTACTATGCAAGACCAAAGCGGGAGCCAGCTGCTGTTGGCAAGCTCAGCTTTGGAATTTGATGGAGTAACCTGAGAAGCCAAGGCCCGACGCATCACACATTCTGTGGCCAGGCTACTTTCAAGCAATCAACTTTTCATCTTCCACTCAACACGAACAATCGAAAGAGTAATTATATACAGTAGTTCTTATGAGAATGAAGGACAAGTTCTGATTTGGTTTGTCGAAAGGATGTTCATGAGTCATGGTGCACAAAACAGCCAAGCAACTGCCAGTGTCCGGATCCTGCTCCAACTTGAAGTTGTCCGTCGACATGCCGAACTTCCTCAGCATGTGTTCTGTCCTTTCGATTCACTCCGCACTAATGCATTGCCATACAGGTGGCATATGGTGGCATACCGCCAAAGCTGGTGGCCAAACTGGGCCAAGAGTCCCCAGTACCGTGTTGCCAAGGTCTTTCCTGAGTTGTCCGAGAGTGGTCGGCGACTGTTCTCCGACTTTTGCGGGGAACAATGCATTCATCCGACGCATCCCATCGGAAATGGGGAATCGGATGTGTTAGGAGTCCTGGCCCATAGGATTTGCGCCCCATCGTGTTAGCTCGACCACATGTGAGCCTCGCAGTCGACCAGAATACAAACTGCAGAACAGTAAGCAGTTGGATTGAATGATGTGGTGATTGGTCGTTGTGCGAAAAAAAAATTGCAACAGGCGTCCCATCTCCCCATACCCTCTGAGGAACTTCGGTGCACCCCCCATGATGCTTTCAAATGCATGCTGCATATTTATTCATTATATGAAACAGCAAATTCAAATTCTAGCGCCCAACAGCATCTGCCGGAGAAAGAACTCAAACAGCCCAGGATACTGTACCTTTTGTGTGACCCGCTGAACAAAGCAACAAGGTTCAGCTTCGACAGCATTTCATCCTTATCTTTCTCGAACTGCTCCTGCGCTCGCTTCTCCAGCACTGCTAAGCGCCGGCTTTCCTGGAGATGAGAGGGTCTGCTGATCACTATGGCACCCAAGGCTACCAATCACGCTCACTATGTGTCCACTCATCAGTGGCCACTCGCTAGTGGCCTACGAGACTTTACACATCTACAACTTGCAGTTTATATGTGACTTCTTCTCACTTTAATCCAAGACGTCGCTTCTGATCTCTGCTCCCCGTACATCTCTGTATTGCGCGCTGCCTTGTTCTCCCAAAGGCCATATAACATAGCATATATTGGCAGTCTTATGAACCACCTTAGGCATATTACAATATAACGAAATCTGCCGATGTCCAAACCAAACAATTCATGTCGGGCCCTGGCAGTGCAATTCTTCAAGACACCAACACAGCACCGCGCATTTGGGCCAGGCCATACTAACACTCGCTCTATATCGTCGCATATAAACCATGCGGCTTGGGCGCGGTTTAGAACGACGCAAAAAAGACTTCGCGACGGGCCTTGGAGCGCAGATTGGGATCCAGTTCCACGGCTTTCTTCAGATCCTCAAAGGCGTCATGCCACTTCTTCAGCTCTTCGTTGGCCACACTGCGCCGGGCAAAGGCCTTCACGTACCTCGCGTCTGCTCAACAACTATGGCCTGGTTGTGGTAGCGGATGCATATATGATTCATATGCATTAATATATTAATATATATATATATTTGTTTTTTGTATGTGTGTGTGTGAGGCGGCATTTGGTTCGTACTAAACTCAAATACACTATTATGCGGAGGCCCTATCTCGTTTAGACTACTTAAGTGGAAGGTCATGTCACAGTATCTCGTTCAGACTGTAAAACTATATCGTTTATGTGGGGGGCCCTATCTCATTCCCGAAAGCATTGCGAAGGGTTCTTCCGGAAAATCCTTTGAACACTGACACTTCGA